CGAAAATCGTCCACCAAAATCAAAGGACACCGTTCAACTTTCGTATTTCTTAGTACAAAACTTTAGTGTTATGCTTTCGAACGAAATTTTATGCACAGATGAAACAGATTATACAACGCGGTAAGGTACTAAAAATAGTAAAAGACAGCTTGAAGATACAAACAAGACTTCAAATTAAGGAGTAACACGTTTACCATGGATATACAGTTTCAAGTTTATTTGTAAAGTATGAAGAATCAAGGTTAGCAGTTAGACATTAAAATACGAGATTCAGGATTGCTTTAAGAAGTACAATATAGATATGCAGTGTTAATAATGGTCATAAAAAATAAAACATAACGAGGTGCTTTAGGATAAATAAAATAGTTTAGATTCTTAAATAACGGGTTGTGCACACAATTATTGCTCTGTACACAAAAACAGGCGTTGAGGAGATGTGTAAAGGTTTGGATTTTGCAATAAACTGTTCAATGTAAAAATAAGGGCTTAGAGACGTAGATATTTTGGCCTACGCATGATCTGAAGGAATATTATACATATATGAAACTTTCAATACTGAAATAATAAGTTTGATATAAAAAGCAGTGGTGAACGATTGATTTAGCAATTTAAAGTCAGCAGTGAAGGTTAATTATGGATTTAAAGGTGCAGATTTAGACATTTAATGAGAGATTTTCGGATTTAGATTCAACATTAGGGATGAACAATCGATTTGACGATATAGATTTAGCAACGAGGAGAGCAAAACAATTTAGAAAAAGGCTGCTACGGAAGGATTAAGAGAATTAGGTTTAGGAGTAAGGGTTAAGAATACATAAATGGAAGGGAATAAATTCAGAAAAAGAAGGTTCAAAAATGAGTAAGGGAGTTAAATCTACAGGGGAAAAAATGGTATGAACATTAAACCAAAGAGGTTTCGTACTTGCTGCGGGACTAAAAAATATTTTCGCACATAGTATGAAACCCAAAAAAGTTTTCGATTTTTGAAACGAATTCTGAACTTTTTTTGGATTTCGTAGAAGATCGACGGTGTCTCTGAAAAAGATTCCTAGACCGCTGAAAATCATTTTGAAGGTAACTTGGGTTCATACAAAGCCTTTTTAAAGGTTTTGATTTTTGAAATAGAATGGACCGACAAGGTACCTATTTTTTTCTAGTATACGAATAGGAGTGAAGGACCAATTCCAGAGGAAGATTTCGGAATCAATGATTAACGGATAGATTTGCATGCGTAAATGTATTAGTAGAACACTGAGTCTAGTACGAGAACCGTGCTGCAGAACCTTTTTATATGAAATACAAGAAGAAGAATCTGTACGGAACCTTGTTTGTACGAAACCTGACAGGAACCTCGGCTTTGTTTCAAGAACCGAAACCCTTGCACGGTTTCGCGTGTTACTTTATATTATTTTCAGTGTAGATGGCTTATTAAAGTCAGATCGATCAGCTCTCATTAGAGATCGCTTCAAATAGTTTCTTAGATCAAAACTATTACCGAATTCTTATACCTTTGCTGCATACTACATTTAATATTTGATATAAACTATAGGAATAGGTTGGCATTGGTTGGAATAGGTTAGCAGTTAGTCAGATATTGGTCTAGAATTGGTCAGGATTGGTATTGATTAGGGGTGAGCCTGTCACTATTCTAATCTATTACTAAGCCACTTACATTGAGGGGTGTTCATTTTGCTATAGCGTTAGGCTTTTCGTTAAAGAATAGTTTTTGTTGAGAAAAGAATAGTTTTCTATAAAGCTTAACCGAATGTGACAATGCAGGTTAGGCTTGCCTAATATTTTGTCCTTCTCATGCGCTTTGTTCTTATGACGCACTTTATTGTTGCTCTAAACTTTGTTCTTATCCTATAGTATATTATTCACACCGTTATATCGTGATACTTGCTTAGTTTTGATGCTTAAGCACATAAAACGTAGAAACATTTGTATGAAAATGCGGTTTATGATATCAAGAAATCGAATAAAGTGTAATTTCACTTTCACTAACCCTTCTTCTGTCTAAAAAACGTCATACCGAAGGTAACTGCAGTCGAAAAATCTGAATCTGCAACCAGCTTTTCAAAATCCTGAACTAAATTTTTTCCAGCAAGGAAGAGTTTTTAAGAAAATTATTAGTTTTTATGAAGTTGAAGCATTGGTAAACGGCACAAGTTTATTTGACTAGGAAACAAACTTCACAATTGTGAGAATCGGATTGCAGATTCCGATTTCTGCACCCTGATAACCTTCAATTAAGCTTTATATAAATCGTTAATTTTTTGAATAACCATTTCTTAGTTAAGAAAATCAGGTAACGAATTTTGTAAATCTGACTGTACGTTCGGATTTCTCAACCTCGATTATCTTTGGTCAAATTATACCGCAAATTGTTATTGTCTAAAAAATTCTTCTTTAACAAAAAGCTTAGAATTATAGCAAAATGACATTCTTCAATGCCAATAGCTTAATAATGGATAGGAATTGTGATATGCCTACTCGTAATCACTGCTGATTCTAATTAATTGCAATTGCTATTCTAACCGATGCCGACCTATTCTATGAATTAGAATTGGTGCATCTCTATAAATTAACTACTGCAGTTACTATTTACAACTAACTAAGTAACTACTATAGTTACTAGTTACTAGTAACTGAGTAACTATGTAGTTACTATTTACTAGTAACTAAGTAAATATATAGTTACTATTTACTAGTAACTAAGTAAATATTTTAGTTACTTTACTTTGGTAAAGTAACTAAAAAGTAAAGTAAATATCCCACCCCTAGTGTGGGTGTGGGTGTGGGTGTTGATAGTAGTTCTGCCATTCACTGACACCCACACTCATACCCACACCCACACCCACACCCACACCCACACCAACACCCACACCCACACCCACACCCACACCCACACCCACACCCACACC